ACCTCTTGTGTGGGGTCGTGCGGCATAACAGCAGAGGGCTTGACTCCGAACCAAGAGGTTGCGGGTTTGAGTCCTGACATGCCACTGATACTGTGCCCTTGGGAAAGGACTTTCCTCACTTAACTCAAGAGGAAATGCATTCTGTCTGTCCTGCATTTGTTTCTATGTGAGGGACATAACACCAGGAGCACTTGGCCTCTGCCCCACATGTACTGTATTGTTAAAATTTCAATAAATCAAATCAAACAAGATGATTTGACTTTGCTGTAAGCAAATCTATGCAAATTATGGCTACCTGACATTCATTGCTGGTGTCAATGACCTCTTACTCACTGCTGACCCAGATCTCTCAAATCACTGGCCGCGCGTGACTCCAAATTGAATCCCTGGCACTGGAACATCGACTTTCATTCAGCTACTTTGAGTAGGAAAGATACGGACCAAAGAGAATTGCAGGGGAAAGAAAATGCCAACAAGATTTTGACCAGAGCTCAAGTATTAGATCAAAATACTTGCAATACATCATTCTTGTTTGTAATGTACTACAGATGTGGTGAGAACATCGACTTTGATTCAGCTACTTTTAGTAGGATACGTATGGACCATAGATAATTGAAGGGGAAAGAAAATGCCAATAGGATTCTAACCAGAGCTCAAGCACTAGATCCAGGAAATGCTTGTAATTCATCATTCTTGTTTGTAATGGACTACAGATGTGGTGAGAACATCGACTCTGATTCAGCTACTTTAAGTAGGATAGATACGGACCATAGACAATTGTAGGGGAAAGAAAATACCAACAGGATTCGAACCAAAGCTCAAGTATTAGATCAAAATGCTTGCAATTGATCATTCTTGTTTGTAATGGACTAAATATATGGTGACTGCTATCTGAGCATAACAGCAACAATTTCAGCACCAAGGAGAGTACCCATGGCTATAGCATGCTGGCATGAGCGTTGACATGCACAATCCATTACCATTTTCATTGGTAATCCTTGCAAATCTCTGGTAATCCTTGCAAATCTCCACCAGAGGAAGATGTACAACATGTAAAACTGGTGATTTTTTCTGCCTGAAGATCTGTATAATCCCACCAAGCCATCACAGCCTTGTTCAAAGATGAGGATCTATACAAAGGTCCGATGCATTCTGGCAGAAAACCTCCGGGCTTTTATGAAATATATATTGCCTGTCTTCTGCACACAAAGGCCAAGTTTGCTTCCCCATCATGATAAATAACCCACCATATGACATTTTCAGGAATTCAAAGGAGAGCTTTCGGGGTTGTTTCGGGGTGCCTTCTGTTTGCGTCACCAAACTGCCAATGAAACCAGCCTTTGGCCGTACTTCAAAGGAAGCAGCTTTGGAGGCCGCGATGACTTCTGTCCCGACATCAAGTATTTTTGGCTGGATACAGGCTTTTTAATTTCTGGAGGTATGAACCAGCTGGTCCAGAGGAAGCTGTGATGTTTAGAACAGGCAATTAAGCCTAACAGCACTGCACCACAGCAATGTGTTTCACAGCATGGCTGCTGGGGTGTTGGGACTTTTCTTTGAGATTTCAACACTGCTCCAAAATGATGATTTAAACAACAACACTTGGAAGGGATCAATCACAAAGGCTTATCTTTAAAACACAACCTCCAGCTTTGTTGTGTGATTTAGTAGAGTAATCAACCAAGGATTGAGGAGTTCAAAAACTCATTTTTTTTCCTAGTAGATCTTCATGTATCAAAGAGTGGAACTTGCTGCCCCGAAGTACAGTAGGGGCATCATCACTAGATAGCTTTAAACAATGTTCAGAGTTAGATGTTCAAAGAAAGGATAGGTGTCATTCGATGTAATACACCAGCTGCGCCGTGTGACTGCAAAGCTGGTACGTTATGCCGAGGGGCAGTTATACCGGCTATACTGATACAGATGCAAGATATTGGGATTTTCTTATACACAACCAGGAATTTTTCCTACCCTGCTTTCATTTCAATGTCTATCAGACAGGATTCTCAGAGCTTCAGACAGGAGTACTGCTTCTCGCGCTATGTCCTACGTTCTGCCAACCTGATGAAATTATCTTATGAGATACAGATACAGAAATCTTACTGCTTCAAGCCACACATCCATCAAGCAGCTCACTCCCAGCTTGAGATAGTGTGATGCACTCCTCAGCTAAAATGTATCAGACACCTTCCTCATAGCTTCAGACTGGAGTACTGCTTCTCTCTGCTATATCCTACATTCTACCAACCTGATGAAATAATATCTTAGGAGACAGATACAGACATCTTACTGCTTCAAGCCACACATCCATCTCCCAGCTTGAGATGTTGTGAAGCACTCCTACTAAGCTAAAAACATCTCCACAGTAAGTTAAGTGCCAGAGGCAGTGAACTTCAGAGTGCTTTTTACGGAAGCAGTGACAAATGTCCTGTCCATTGGAGAGACAGTAATTATTGATTCTTGACAGGGGTCCCCACTTCTCTGGCAATTTTTTTATACTGTAGGAGATAAGAGAGTGAATTACTTCTCCCCAAAGCACTTTTTTGACTACAAGGCAATGAAACTGTAAAGTAAACTATGTTGGTGAAGGTTAGGCATCCAGGTAAACAATAGTCACGGGAAATTTAAACTCTACTGCTGGATGAATTACGGAGAGAATTTCCGGATGTTTTGAGTGACATCAACCACTTTTCTTCAGCGCCACTAATGAACTAACAGAATTTGTTAACACATGTGTTATAAGTAGCTAGAAAAAAAAACAGTTCAACTGCTGACTTCCTATATGACTGTCTGCACCTCTTTTATGACATACAAAAGAGCGAAATCTAGGGTTTGTTTCAAATGAAAAACACACCTTTTCCAGCTTCACTTCCACTCAGAAACACTGTAATTCTAATCTGTAGGTGTTCAGTTCTTGCCTAGATAGTATCTACCATACTACATGTAACTATCTGTTACAGGTGTCTTACACTTCATAGCTTATGAACATGTCCAAACATCCATGTCTAAAGATTTTAAATGCAAAGATTTGTTTTATCTAATGCAAACACACCTTTACAAGCTTCACTTCCACTTTGTAACACTGTTGTTATTATCTAGATGTTCTGTTCATGCCTAGATAGTATCTAAAACACTAACTATCCGTTACAGGTGTCTTACTCTTACACTTCATAGCTTATGAACGCATCCAAATATCCATGTCAGTCTAAAGATACAAATCACAGTTCAAGATACCAGCTATTAGTAACTCTAACAAGCATATGGCTCTACTGGCAAGATAGAGAGAGTTATAGGTATGCGCAATATACTCAGATAGTGACAAGCGATGCCTTATCGTTGCGAGTTGCCGTCCTGTGCAAAGTGGTTCGTTTTGCAGACTGCGCGGCACCTGGTACTGATGTACCCTGTGATTTCTCCGTCTCGCCATAAATAATGTATGCTTGGCGCTGTGTTGGGGGTGTCTACGGCGGTCTCATACTGTTAAGTATTGTGGTGTTCCCAGTGTTATTGAATTATGGGGGGTCTGCATGCACTGGCGAGATAAGTATATCTTCTTTTTCATATCTGTTATAGGTATATATAAGTGTGTATTATGGAGCTCTGTGAGGATTTTTGTTGTAACTACATACATGCATCAAGATTTGTATGAAGCAGGGTGATAGAGCTGTCAACGTGAAACTTTTCTGCGGTAAGGCTATCATTATGTAAGCGGGAATTTGTGCTTTCAGACCTGATTCTGATAGAAATATCATCAGATGTATGCCTACTACGTGTACAAAGTCAAGTACCAATGCCAAAAACATCACAATCATGAAAAATAACACAAGAAACCCTTTAGAAAGACCAAACCATAACTATCTAGTTGACAAGGTCTATATAGTATAACTACAAAAAAAACATGTTGTGAACTTTCGAAAGAACGCATTGAATCCTATCAAATAGTTGCTATTGACTGAGCAATTTGAAATTTTCAGCATAGCTTTAGACTTGCCCCGTGCGTGAACCATTGTAAATTGGGGACACGCCATTTTTCACAATTTGGCTCTGCACAGAATGGCAACAAACTTGACCAAAAAAGACATGATGTGAAACAACAATACAAGAAAACCTTTGGAAAGAACGCATTGAATCCTATCAAATAGTTGCTATCGACTGAGCAATTTGAAATTTTCAGCATAGCTTTAGCTGCGCCCCGTGAGTGAACCATTGTAAATTGGGGGCTCGCCATTTTCACAATTTGGAACATAGAAATACCACGAATATCTGGACTTGACAAACTCTATAACTACACAAAACATGACATGGAACTATAAGTATAATACAAAGAATATTGAATCCTATCAAATAGTTGCTATCAACTGAGCAATCTGAAATTTTCAGCATAGCTTTAGACACGCACCGTGAGTGAACCATTTTAAATTGGGGGCACGCCATTTTCAACAATTTGGCTCCGCACAGAATCTGCCTGTGGCAACAAACTTGACCCCTATGACCCCCAGACAATCGGCGGGTCCAATGTGCTTCGCCCAGGGGAAATGAGAGAATTCACCGATCACACTTCTGTACATTTGGGACTGCATTGTAGGTAACTGTTATCTATAACTGCTGTGCTGTGCAATGCAAACCTGAGTCAGAATTGTCCTGAGTAAGGTGACACACGGTCACTGAAACGTTGGCTGAATAAACCTCCTGGTTATGACGAAAAGGCCTTGTTCAAGGAATGGAATGTTGGAAACACGTGATTGTAGCAGTGGGTCATACTTACTTAGTGTTGGAACATAAAGTTTTAGCCTTTTCGTCATAATGTACCATACCATCACAGATGAACTTTCATGTTAAAAAAAATTCCTAGTTGTGACAAAGAATCTCTTTATTCTGAGAAGCCATGTGACAAGTCTCACTGGGTCTGTCTACTGAGAAAGACCAGAGTGACTGGTCAAAAGCTATAGTTTTAACTTTAAACCCACCAGTAGTGTAAAAAAATCTCTGAGAGAACTCACCCCTGTTCCTCCATCAGCTCCTGCATCTCCATGCACTTCAGCTCCACCTTCCTCTTCCTCTCGTGGTCCAGGATCTCCTGGTTCGGCTTCTTGCTCATGGCAGCATCCAGCTTCTTCATCTCTTCTTCTGTCTTGTAGTTCACCTGAAGAATCACAAAAATTATGTTAATCTTTGCAGAAGAAAAACAATGTTTTTGCCCAGTTCCTTCTTGGTTCTTCTTCCAATCCAAACAAAGTCAATGACCTGGACCTGATGTCTGTCACCATGGTAACTTGTGCTGTAGCAGACACCCTGCAATGTTGGGTTACATTATGTAGCAAAACAGAGTTGGCAAGGCTACTCACCATATACTGTATATGAATGTATTTGGCTTTGATTAAGAATAAGCAGAGCAGTAGTTTGTTGGGCAAGACCAGTTGAAGGTAAACATTATGCATTTGCTTTGCATTGTTACTTTAAAGTTCTTACTTCAATCTCACTTGAGGGAGCAATGCAGGGATGACTGCCTGATAGCAAAGTCTCTTTTTTGGCCAAACAAAATAGTAGGTTCAGAAAAATAGTACCTGCAGAACTAGAACTATCGCTTCTTCTCTTGAGGCTGCCTTTAAACCACAAGTCTTACTTAAATCTCACTTGAGGGAGAAATGAAGCCATACAACATACCTCTGCAGGCGTCTAACTTCTCCTGTAAGTTTGTCTCAGAAATGAAATGGCAAAAAGCAGCCCGTAAAATGTCAAAAGGGACGACGTAGACACTGCGTCTGCCGCCAGCTTTAGGGTTAAGCAGCCCCAAAGCCATACCTGCTGGACCATTTGTCTACGACGGCTCCCTAAAGCCTGCATTACCTCACCGACGCATCCCTGACAAGGGATTTCCAACAATTGGGAAGAAAGCCTCGGCGGCGGCTCTCAACTTTTTAAGAGCGATTGTGTCCTTGGGCAGAACATTGGGATGGTGGCTTTTAGCTGCCTGCACTTACCACAGACGCACATTTGTAGCAGTTTGGTTGTAAATTGTATCTGACGGCACGCAAACGCCGGTTATGGGGTAAGGATATACACAGTGTACATATATTTTCAGCCTCCAAAGGCATTTTCTTGGCACTGCTGTGGCAGTACGCTGAAGATGGTTTGCGGTATCTTTTTCTTGTGGAATACATACTTAGTCTTCCTAGACACGCTCCCAAAGTCGACAGTTTTCAGGATTAAGTGAGGAGACTCTTTTTACACAACCAAGTCTTTTATTCAGCCGATGTTTTGGTGACCGTCTATAGCAGCGACACATGTGCTGTAGTGTGATGTGAACCAGTCAGAACTATCCTGAGGAAGGTGACAGACGGTCACCAAAATGTCGGCTGAATAGAAGACTTGGTTGACTGTGTAAAAAGAGTGTCCTTACTCAGTAACTTACCAACCTGATGAAACTATTCACGGAAGTTTTCAGGATTTCCCTACACAAATACATATTACATGTAGGTATGCGTGTGTGATTGTTCACTATTAAACATACATGTAGACATGGATTGCCGTACCTTTTCCTTGCGGCCGCGGATGTGCGCCCAGTTCCGCGTCACGTACCCATTAGTGCCGCTCCCACGAGGGGTGTTCAATCCAATGCCGTTGTACATCGCGCCGCCGGGTCAGAGCGTCCTCAGAGAGACTCAGGAACTGTCCTTAAGCAACAAGATAAAGAGAAAAGGGTCTTGTTCATGTTCAACTGTTTTTTTTCCAGTTCCTTCACATGTGATTAGTGTAGCGACAAGATAGAGACAAGTTTACGAATCTTTCATTCACACTAGGTGGTCGTCTGAACACCTGCAATTTGGAAATGTCTTCTTTTGAAGTGTCAGCCTTTATAGCTTTTGTCCGCTCCCTACGATCCGCTACCGGCGAATTGTGAGAAGCAGACAGAAGCTATAAAGGCTGACAGGCTAGAAGATACATGGTACATGGAAAGAAAGCTAAGGGAGCTCAAAGGAAACTCGGGAACTGTACGTCTTGTAGGAAAAAGATAAAGACAAGTTTACTAATTTTCCCTCAACACTAGGTGGTCGTCTGCACACCTGCAATTTGACAATATCCTCTCAAGATACAAGGTACTCTAATGGAAAGAAAGCTAAGGGAGCTAAAAGGAAACTCAGGAACTGTCCTGTTGCAATAGATAAAGACAAGTTAACCAATCTCATGTCGACGTTATAAGGTTGTCTGCTTAGTATTTCCTACAATTTGGCAATATCTTCAGCTCCATGGTACTCTGAGTCTGACAGAAAAAGGTAGCTCAAAGGAGACTCAGGAATTGTAGCAATAGACAAAGTCAAGTTTACCAATCTTTCATTGTCACTAGGTGGTTGTCTGTACACCTGCAATTTGGCACCTTTTCTACAGATACATGGAAAGAAAGCTAAGGGAGCTTACATGATGGAAATTTTGTCCTGTACCAAAAGATAAAGACATGTTGACCAATCTTTGTTCCACACTAGGTAGTCATCTGCAAACCTGCAATTTGGCAGCATCATCTAAAGCACACGGTACTCTAACAGAAAGAAAGCTAAGGGAGCTTACATGATGCAAGGTGCAGTGGAACGCGCTAAAGGAAGACTGATCGTATGTGTCATTGAAAGACATTTCTACGGCTGGGAATGCAGCACCATAATCAAGATTCATTTCACAAGTACACCTAGCATACAACTCCAAGATGTAGATGTACATTCATGCCATTTCTTCTTTGTACAAACGAGCTAGTGCCATGGCTGGTGCAATACCTCAATCGGTGAGAGTGCTGGCTTTGTAACCTGGAGGTCGTGAGTTCAAACCCCAGCCAGGTCATACCAAAGACTTTAAAATTGTACAGACTGCTTTCTTTGCATCTATCAGAAATCGTTTTTAAACACCTCAAGCAGACTACCCCCCTGCTGTAGTGCTTGCACAACTGTGTGGCCCAGGGGCTACATAAATAGAGATGGGCACCACCCTGATGCTTCTCATGGAGTGGAACAAAATCGATGAACTTGTGATAAAATCTGTCTATCTGATGGAGATTCCTTTAGGGATGAATTTCCGGAGAGTGCAATGTTTCACATCATCTATTATTCGGAAGTTGATAACTTGAACAGAGAAGTCTTCTGACCTATGTCTTTGGTGAGAAGATCTCTTACTGTGATATGTCAAGTTTTATGTCATAAACATCTTTTCATGCTGTAATTATGCACACATACGTGACGAACTTGTCCTATAGAATAACTGCAATGTTTGGTCATCTTACAGAATACTAGTATGCGGCCGGCACGAAAAGTCAAAGTGCGTTTCAACAGACATACAATTACAACGTAGAATGGTCCGCTTAGCATTATAACAGAAACCACAAGGTTCCTTGTCATATTATTTTTTAAGATAAGATAGTAATCTAGTATTTTCTCTCCTAGTCCTACCCTTATACTTCAGTTATCCTACCTATAGTGCATTTGAACAATACAGGGCGTGAATGTGCAATTACATGTAAGTTCATTGTCATTGTAATTTAAAAATGACAAGGTACTTGTACCTAACCATCAGGTCTGTAACCAAAACTCTAGCTTCACTGACTCTGCACCAGTGCATGGGCTTACGAAAAGGTCATGCGAATGATTTGAACCATGCTGACCACAGACACATGGTCAAGCACACAAGTGCAAAGGCCATGGGTATTCGGCCGTATTACGCCTCATGACAACAGCTTGTAGTGCCAGATCGTAGCCTACTCAATCACTCACTAGTGCACATACGATAGGGCATTCATCTGTGAGATTTTACTATGTGTACAGTTGCCTGCAGTAACCAAATTTGGCATGCACCAGACTGCCTCATTCTTGTGCAGTCTCTCCATAATGATTGACTTTATGACATCTCAGTCTGCACATACGATTTGGCATTCAACTGTGAGAATTTGAGATTTTACTATGTGTAAGGTTACCTACAGTAACAGAATTTGGCATGCAACAGACTGCATCATTCTTGTGTAGTCTTTCCATATGACTTTATGACATCTCAGTATCACATATGACTGGCCATTCCTCTGTGAAATTTTACCATGTGTAAGGTTGCCTACAGTAACAGAACTTGGCATGCACCAGACTGCTGCATTCTTATGCAGTCTGCACACATTTATGTACAATATGACTTCATGACATCTCAGTCTGGGTATAGCCAATTGCCTTATGATTATGCTGTAACATATGCAGTAACACGTACGCACAGACACACCAAAGATGCACAGTTTACAACTTATGAAATCTCTCGCATTAGGGAGAACTGTCACTAGTGAAGACAGATAGGAAAGACATAACCTCTGTATGTCAAAGGGTCAGGTCCTTGTCATTTACTTGAAAAGATGCCATTAATTACCGTATTTGATAGACCACACATATGCACACACACACACATCACTTGTACAAAAACTACAGATAACAACGTAACTGTAGATGCCACGGCAGTGCTATGTAATGCTGTTTGGCTGCAACAGCTGTAGCATTCGGCCACCAAAAATCGTCACGCAAAATCCCTAACGCCCAAGATCATGCTGTAAAGTCTTAACCTATGAGACATCTGACCACAAGGATAGAGAAATCACATCACAGAGAGTACGAACCATCCCACCTGCTCCTTTCTCCAAACGTTCCCGTCGTGCTGAAAATTGTGGCTAATCAATAGGTACACCCTGGGGGGCAATTTGGCGGCGCGGAACAGTCCACTTCTCCGAGAGGTAAGGCTACTATTTTTTTAATGCTTTCTCCAGTCTGATCAGTAATTTTGGTTAAGGCTGGTCTTATTTCCTGCTTAAAATGGAAGTGGTACATGTATGTGGTAATGTACTTAGAATATAGGAGCTAGAAATAGGACAGTTTGATGAACAGTAGAAGATGATCCCTACAAAACGATGGATTGCCCCAAGAGAAGACGCATCGCAATTCCACAATTAAGCTTATTTGGAAGAGTAATGTACTTCCATTGACATGCGGGAGCCAATTTGATACGTCTCATCCCGCGCTCTTGCCAAGGCTGACTGGAATATGATAGAGCCTTTCAACGATCGGAGATAACAAGATTCAAGTACGGAAGAGAATAGATTTGGAACGGACACCCTGCTCTGTAGTGGCGTTCGAAGAAACAAAGATAATCACAAGCATGTAATAAAGACAGAAAATTAATAACACACCATTTTTCTTCATAATAAGAACGATAGACCCTTTCAACAATTGGTGATAACAAGATTCAAGTACAAGAGAGAAAAGATTTGGAACGGACACCCTGCTCTGTAGTGGTCTTTGAACAAAGATGATAATAAAACAAGCATGCAATAAAGAACTGAGACAGAATTTCTGATGGAAAATTAATAAAACACCTGGACAGAGATCAGCGATATTACAAGATTTAACTTGGGGATAGAATAGATTTGAAATGGACACCTTGCTCTGTAATGGTTTTTGAAGAAAGATAATCACAAGCAGCATGTAATAAAGAACAATAATGTGAGTGAGTAATAAAGAACTGAGACAGAATTTCTGACAGAAAATTAATGATACACCTCCATTATTCTTCATAACGATAGATTTAAGAACCTAAGATGAATAATCTCATTAGGTTGAACATCTGTCGACTATTCAGTTCTCCAGCTGCGTTAATGACAATGTACCACAAAGTCACCTATTATCACGTTTACAGGAATGTTGACGATCACAACAAACCAAATTATCACTCTCTGTGACATCTCTGCCAAAATTTGGAAAACAACTTCATGAAACTTTTTTTTTTTCACAAACAAAAACCAGCAGCAACTACTCGTATCAACTTGAAATTACATGTAAACTCTTGACAGCATTGCTATATACAATGGGAGGGATCAAAATGCCACCTGTATACAATGAACATAATTATACAGGTTAGTGCACTGCCAGGTAAAATTGGAGCTGTGCAGGAATTTCTGATGTCTGCCTGAACCTAACATGACTGGTCCATGATTTAGATGAAGAATTCTAAGAAACGCCTCTGGTAAAATACACCAAAATAGGTCCTCCTGACTGTGCTCTGTTCTGATCCTACTATTTCTCCAGATTTGAGTATTCCTAACTGTTTCCTAAAAGACAGCAAAATACATGCAGGTTCTCCTACATTGTACCTCTACTCTGATCCCACTATTTTGCCAGATTTAGATAAAGAATTCTAGCAAACGCTTCTAGCAAAAGACAGCAAAATAGGTTCACCTATACCTGTGCCCGGATCCCTTTTTCTCTCCAGATTATAGAATTCTGAGGAATGTGTCCTAAAAGACAGCAAAACACGTTCTCCTACCTGTGGCCGAATACCACAATTTCTCCAGATTTAAATGAAGAATTCCTACAAATGTTTCCTAAAAGACTGTAAAAAAAGTATCTGTGCCTTGATACCACTATTTCCCCAGATTTAGATAAAGAAACGCCTCCAAAAAGGCAGCAAAAAAGGTTTTCCTACCTGTTCTGATCCCACTATTTCCGGCCAGTAACCACTTTTGCCCGCCCAACCATCCCATCAAGGGTCGTAAAAATAGAACCAGCAAATCAGATTCCAGCAGGAACACCCACTCTAAGAACACAAACACTCTAAGAAACATTTCCTATAACTTATAAAACAGCAAAATAGGTTCACCTACCTCTGTAATAGA